AGCGATACGGTGAGCACTCGGCGCACTTTGCTCTCAACGGGTCCCATTGAGACAGCAAAGCCAAACATTTTTAAGCATACGTTGATGTGCAAGCAGCACCGCAGACTGACGGTTCTTGCATGGCCAAATTGACACCGTGGCGATGCGCATGAAGAGATCTGATACAGTCGAGATGATGAGTCAAGAACCCTTTGAGTCGTCCAGAGGCGATGACAATCTTAGGGATGCACCCTCAGAAACTGCGGGAACCCCCAAGATCGCCATCGTGATGAGGCCATGCCCAACACAGGGATAGGGATAGGTTCCAGGCTGGTAAATAATGGGGCTGGTGATAGGATCGTGTTGACTGGTCTTCGCGTCCATGGAATCGTCTGGAACCGCGGCTGTGCCGTCTACGAAAAAGAGAGAGAGGGAGAGTACACCAGTCAGTAACAAATTCGGCAGTCGGTTGAATGGAAACCTTCGAGAGAACCAGAGCTTGGTGACTGGTTTGCGCTGCCTGGTAAGCGCGCCAATGAGTCATGTTGAGAGGGGGAGCAGGCGAACAGCATGACAGGACAGAATCACCCGACAGAAGCTGCGCTTTTCAGCGTGGAAGGCGAGATGGCCTAATCTTGTGGATGCCACGACAATGGACACCCTAACAGTCCTATCATTTAATTTACAATGTGTGTTAAAATGTCGGGAAATGTTCTAAACGTGTTTTAAACATGTGTTTACATGTTAAAGCATGTTTAACACATGTCTCAGACATCTGGACATTATTTGGCAACATGCTTCCTCTCCATTGATCGCGAATGCGAATGCAATACATCAGGAGCTCTCTCGTAAGGACGCGGGGGCCCGCGCTGAGACAATGTAGCAGGTTGCCTTCCTGGACCTGACTGCCTCCGCGGACCTGGTCTGAAGAAACCCTCGTCTCGCTGTAAGTCACTACGGCACGACAGGGGCCCCTTGGGCTGTGATGTGGCAGACCAGTGGAGGCCACAGCAACATCACCTTCATTCCTTTTTGCCACAACTGCAGGGCACTCCATACCAACTAGCGTCGAAAAGTTAGTTCCACCACGTTACTTCCCGTTAGTCTTGACGCAAACAAGAAGAGGCTGACTCGTGACACGCGCTGCGCGTAGCCGGCTCACGGAGGCGTGGTCTGTCGCAGAGACGTAGTGGAGTTCGTTATCACGCGTGTACGCTAATTGAAACATCAACAATCGTTGAGTTCTCACTCGGGTCTTCCGAAGGCCTCCAAGGACCCGAGCAGACCTAAAAGGGCATTCGAATAATTATGGCTCCTCGTCGCTGTCGTCGTCCGTCGTCCTCGTCGTCATTGCCGTCGTTGTTCGATGCTCCAGGGTGGATGATCGTTCGAGGAGATCCCAGGGAGGAGCCACCAAGGCTGCCCCGGATGCCCCCAATACGCCTACATCACGAGCTTTGGGTCGAAGAGCGCTCCGCACTGTCGGCAACACTCCTGCTCCGTGCACGCTGGCGGACAAGCCTCCGGCGCGGGCATGTTCGGTTCTTCTAGGCGCCCCTCGGGCTGCCTCGGGGCTGTCTTTGGGCCATCCTGAATGTGGTTTTCCGATCTTTTCTGGGTTTTTTGTCTTCCCCCCCACGTCCCATCTTTTCCCATCTTTTCTGGGGAATCGACGATTCATTGTGTTGCAGTTCAGCCAGTCAGCCCCCCGCCGCCGCTGCCTGCAGCTGCCGCCTCTGAGAGCTGGCCCGGTCGACTTGCGCTGCGCCCTGTAGCTAATTAGGCTTGCCCGTTGGCCCGGACTTCCTTCTCGCCGCCTGCGCTGTCGCTTGCGGCTGCGACCAAAAAAACGATTCATTGTGTATTTGTGTGTTTTTTCCCCTCCTGAATGTCTTGGGCCTACATCCTGGATGTGCTCCGCCCCGCGCAACCAGCACGGACTCCCCGACTGCAGGATTATCCCACTGTGGGCGGGCGGCGGATGCCACGCCCTGTGACAACGCCCGCCCACCTGCGCCTGTGGCCACGAGAGAGCTGGGGCACACAGTCGGGGCGTTGACCTAAGGAACCCTGAATCAGGAACGGGGGCCCTTTCTCCCATCAGCTAAAGTTCGATTTCCCATCGAAAACCTATGGAAAACCTAAGGCAAGCTGTGAAACAATCAAGGGACACCGAGCCCCTCCCCAACGAGAAGGGTTCCTTCGTCAGCGCCCCGACTGTACAGTCGGCCTTGGTTGGACAGGACGCGCGAGAGGACACAGTACCCTGACGAGGGCCGCCGCTGCCACAGGCATGTCGGAGGCATGGGCCGCGAGACGCAGGACACGAGGGCACCCTCGATTTGGCAGGGTCGACCTGCTGATCCGGGCCGCCTGCATGAGAGCGTCTTCTCGGGCCTTCGCCGCCTCATCTTCAGCCAAGAGAATCCCCGCACATCCCGCCGGTCCCAAGACGGGTACCACCTGCCCATCATTTTGCGTGCGACGCGCTCGCTGAGGAGAAGGGATATAGGAGCAAGGAAAGGCGACGCCAACACCGACAGGGCGAGGAGATGCGAGGAGGCAAGGGGGAACTCCCTGGTGGTGTGCCCCCCCCCCCCCCCTCTCGCTCGAGACATCCCCGGCCTCCAGCTCGGAGAGGCACCGCGGACCTCCTCGCTGGCGGTGGGCCCCCTGGTGTTGGTATCGCCCCTCCTGCCTCCGAGGGTAAGGAGGCACAAGACAAAACCACCAACTGCCGAACTTTGAACCAAAAACTCAGCCGTCCGCCAGCAGAGCTCACCTGATCTTGGACACCCAGAATGGGTACCGAAAGAATGGGTAGAATGCCCAACAACAAACGTTGTCCCAAACCTACAGCGGCCGCTGCTGGGCCGGCGGCCTCCTGTCTCGAATGGAGACAGGCCGCGGCGACACCGACAGCGAGTCCTGTTTCAAAACGAGCAGGAACTGCTGTTGGGCACTGTACCCCTTCTTTCCGTATGGGATGCACAAAGACGTACTAGTACTACATGTCATCCTTGGAGGCGCGCGTCCGACCCGAACATATAGTGTACCCATTTTGTAGTACATCGTTTCCCGAGCGGTGTGGCCAGAATGCGCCCGCCACAACGCATATACTATAAGATTCCTCGGTGCGCGCGTCGCCCCTGGGAGGGTGACGCACATATAGTATAAGTATGTTTGGGTGTTGCCGACCGTACCCATTTCGGGCGTCCAGAGCGATGGAGTCGGCCCAACAGCCTGACGCGCCCGGGCGCGAGTGGCAGACCCTGCGACCCCCGCTGAAGAGCTCGCCGGCGCCCCGGCGGGCCAAAGGCGTGCGGGAGGCCTGCCGTCCCAGCGACACGCGGGAAGCTCTCCTCCTCCTCCTCCTGCTCCTCCTCCTCCTCCTCCTCCTCCTCCTCCTCCTCCTCCTCCTCCTCCTCGTTTGCCTCCCTCTCCTCGTCCATATCCCACGTTGCCCCACCAATTCACAGCAATCCTCCCTCCAACTGCTGGCCTGCCCTGTGCGCCGTGCAGTCGCCCCCTAGAACTTCGAGGGACAAACTCAGAGCACTTGTATGTTGGAGAGCTCACATGCGCGTGGCGGCTGCTGAGAGGTCCCTGGAGAAGGAATGAACAAAACACACCCACCCAGGTCCCGGCGAGGTCGAGTCAGAGATTCACAAAATCCTGGGCGCGGGCTTCGGGACCCCCCTGCAGCCCTGGGAGCGCCCAGAGGGATATCCAAGGACCCCGAGACGGCCAAAACAGCGCTCCAAGACAGTCCAAGAGGCACCCGAAGACGGCCCCAAAGGACCCCAAGAGGGCCCCATCGAAAAAGAAAAAACGCCATAAACCTAAACTTTCGGAGCTCCGCGCGGATTTCTTAGATCGGCGCTGGGCCCCCCTGGCGGCGCCTCCGGCGCCGCCCTTGGCGCGCTACACGCGCCAGGGAGGTGGGTCCAGCGAAGATCCAAGAAATCCGCACGGACTTCCGAAGAGTTCTGCTCATGCCGTTGCTTGTTTCTAACTCCGAGGCGCAAACAGCGGCTGTGTTCTTGTTTGTTGTTCCATGCAACTAAATCAGCGTTCTCGCGATGCTGGACTCCTGAAAACCCAAGACGGCCCAATGGGCCCTCAAGATCGCTCCACGACGGCCTAAGAGGGCCCCAAGAGGGCCCAAGAACACTCCCAAAGGACCTCCGAGACCGACAGCCGGTCCCCAAAAGCCACCCAGAGGCCCCACCAGACCCCCAAGAAGTTCCCAAGAGGTTCCCAGAAAGAGGCCCCCAGAGGCCCCAGACGGCCTCCAGGAGTCCAAGAGGCTCCCGAGGATGGGCAACCCACGAGGACCCGAGAGGCATCCAACACACCTCTGACCCACGACCCAGGCACGGAGGCGGGATGCACTGAAAAAGCCTCGGTGGGGCAATGTTCAATCAAGTGTTGCGCTGTAACTACGCTGCCACTGCATGTTTCCCAAACCGGGTTCATGCCATGACCCAGGGGAACGACCGTGACCCACCACCTTCTCAGCCCCTGTGAGAACACAGTCACGTGCCTGCGATGACACAGCATGGGCTGGCGGAATAAGCGGAGCGATCGAGTATCAGAGCACTCAGAAGCGAGTGCGAGGACATTGCGGATGTCCGGAAGCTTGGGTTCGACGTGGCAGCTTCTTCTACCCCAAGGCGCAACGAGGACATTTTGTGTTCTTTTATACGCGTGATTCGGGATGGTCGCTTCTCTGGGCTTTTGCGAACGCGAAACGGCGGTCCAAGAGGCCCCACGTGGTTCGTTTTCATGTTTGAGCCTCAGCCTCAGGGCCCGCGCCGGGGTGCGGGTTGGAGGCGGAGGCTGCGGAGCACGGTGTGTTGTGCTGGCGACGGGAGCTGTGGAGTAATGCGGGATGACGATTAATGAAAAAAGGGGAGAGAACGATTAAAAAAATAGTTTTCTGCTATTTCTGCACCCTCTCTGACTGGTGGAGAACGATTTCAAAAATAGTTGTTCAGCCCGCGGCCGGTTTTTTCTAATCGTCATCCCGGGCGCCGCCGCGTGAACACGACCCCCAGTCATTTATGAATCGTCATCCTCCGTTGCTGGGTGTGGTGTTGGAAGAAGAGGCGGGCAGGGCGGGCAGGGCGGGCGGCGGGGCGGCTGCGGCGGGCGGCGGGCCGGCTCGACTTCCTACTGCCACTCTCAAGATGCTGGAGTACTGGGGTGTGGGTTGGACGCGGAGGCTGTGGGCACGTGGGCACGACGTGCAGCGGCCATTGCGCCGAAGCACCGCGCCGAACGCCCGGCGGGCGAGCCCTCTGTACACCGACCAGCCCGCTGCGGGGCTGGTGCCGTCGCCCGCTGGGATGCGCCGTGCGCCCTGTGCGTCACGACGCGGCGTGGGGATCTGGCTGATCCTGGCACGCAGACTCGTGGGCGAGCGCAGATCGCCTCCAGGTGCAACATTGAATACACAACGGCGGCGACAGGACGCAGATCGGCGCCAAGCTCCCCGAGCCGCCTGCTCCGTTTCCCAAAAGACCGCACATCGCCTTCGGCATCAACTTTGGGACATCCGCACGGACTTCTTGGATCGGCGCTGGACCCCCCTCCCTGACGTGCGGGCGCGCCAGGGGCGGCGCCAGCGGCGATCAAATAAGCCCGCCTGGACCTCCGAAAGTTCCACGCACAGTGCACTTAGGGACTCTTCTTTGTGTTCAAATGAACTGGGGGGGTTGTGGGTTTGTCGGCTCCGTGCTCGCCGTCGCCGCCCCGTCGCCGCCCGTCGTCTGGGGGGATTGTCGGTCTGGCGGCGCCGTTCTCGCCGTCGCCGCCCCGTCGCCACCTCGTCGCCGCCCGTCGTCTGGGCCTGATTGTCGGATTGGTGGCTAGGTTGTCACCGCCGCCGCCCCGTCGCCGCCTAAATTGCACAACGTAGACTGTACCGCATATGGATTCATTTATGTATATCTGTTACATCGATTGACCTTACAAATTGCACATAACGCATTGCACGACATAGACTGCACACAATATATTGCACACCACAAACGGCTCAACATAGATTGCGCAACGTAGAGTGCACCAACAGGTTAGGAGCATGCATTGCACCACATAGATTGCACGCCATACATTACAACACGTAGATAGCACAACCGAAATTGCACCACTCAGATTGTACCACGTCGATTCCACCGTATACTTCGCGTACCACATATATTGCACCAAATAATTTGCACCACCTAGCTTGCAAGAAGATGTTGCTCAACATAGATTGCACAGCATACATAATTACACCACGTAAATTGCACAAGCGGAGTTGCGGGTGGGTGGGTGGGATGTTTGCAAGGGGCATGGGATTTGCCAACTGATTTGTAAAATCAACCGCACAATATAGATTGCTCCACACATCTTGCCCACCGTACATCGCCTGTCTGTTCATAGTAAGGCTTCTGAGCCCTGAAGATGTCCCCAAGATCGCCGAACATAACATCGAGAGGGGCCCAAGACGGTTCGAATACGCCTCGCAGGCGCCCGGAAGGCATCCTCAGAGACCTCCAACATGTAGCTCTTTGGGTACCGACGCGGACCAGCAATTCAGAATCCCCCCGTTTTCATTGATGCCCTCCGACACGGCCCCAGGTGGGGCCATCAGAACACACAATACAGTCGGGCTGCTGAAATAAGGAACGCTAAATAAGGAACGAAGCCCCTCTGTGGCTTCAAAAAAGCCTAGGTGCACGAGAAGAGCTAGAGGAACAACCACGGAAAGACGTAAGGGACATCGAGCCCCTTCCGAATCCAAACTGTTCCTTATTTCAGCGTCTTGGCCGTAGACCTCCAAGAGGGCTCCAGAAACTCCCGAAATGATTCGAGGAGGCATCCACGAGGTTCCCTTTAGCCAGAGGTCCACGAACGCCTCTCTGGCTGCCTCACGTCGTCGTCCTCGTCGCAGCCGCCCTGTTCCTCCTCCTCCTCATTCTGGTCCGCCCCTTCTCCCACCTCTCTCCTTCTCATGGGCCTCCATCCTCCTCCTCCTCCTCCTCCTCCTCCTCCTCCTCCTCCTCCTCCTCCTCCTCTCCCTCCTTTCTCATCAGCCTCCCTCCTCATCCTCCTCCTCCTCTTACTTTCCCCATCCTCCATTTTCTCCTCCTTCTCCCGCTCCTGCTACCCAAGGTCCACCTCAGATCATGTAGGAACGACTTCTGTGAAATTCCCATTCCTTCTGATCCCCCTCCTCCTCCCCCAGCTCTTCCTTTATCCGCCGCCTCTTCCTCCTAATCCTCACGTCCCTCCTCCTCCTCCTCCTCCGCATCCTACACCCTCCGAAAGATCAACAAAGACACGCGATCTACTTCCCTCTGGACTGCATGCTGCGACACTTCCCTAATGAGGCAACTCGCCTAAATCGCTATTGGAGCCTCCAGTGCTCCAAGTCTCGGCGTCAACTCCCCGTTCGCCCTCGTCCTTTTCAGCGAGCAAGCCCTCCAAGTCCCTTAAGTCCACCGACCGGCCGAGCTTCCACGACAACTCTGCGGCGACCGTAATGCGCACGATGCTCGGGTGGCGCAGCATCGCTTCCTGCTCGAGGCGGTGCTGGTCGCTGTTGCGTCCAGCGTGCACCATCGTAATGAACTCTTTGAGTTCGGTAGTGTATGCCTCCTTGTAGCGTTGGGGGAAGCTCCACTGTGCGCACGGCATGAGATGGCCCTCCGAAGTAGCCAACTCCACGGTACTGGTGAGCTCGTTCTTTGCCGTCAACATGCCCTTGCTGCCGAAGGCCTCGATGCGCTGGTCGTAACCGTAGGTAGCGTCGCGGCAAGTGTCCACCATGGCAACGAGTCCGCTCGGGTACTTTAGAATCACGGCGACAGTGTCAATGTCGCCCATCTTCTCGATCTCGCGATTGTATGCGTGTCCCACGGACATTACAGACTCTGGCTCCTGTCCCCCGCTCAGCCAATTGAGCATGTCGAAATCATGGATTAACATGTCGTGGAAGATGCCTCCACTGGTGCGCAGGTACTCCATGGGCGGCACTGGGTTGTCTCGGCTGCAACATTTGATCACCTTGAGCTCGCCCACTGAGCCATCGTCCACGTGCTTCTTGAGCACCCGGAAGTTCCTGTCGCAGCGCCTCTGGTAGCCGCAATACAGCGGCAAGCTCTTGCTGGTTGCCAGCTGCACGGCCTCCTCGACCTCCTTCAGCTCATGGGAGATGGGCTTCTCGGTCAAAACCGACTTGTCGGCGCTCAGCGACTGCATGATGAACTGGAAATGGGTGTCCGTCGTCGATGCTATGATCACGACGTGCACGCCTGGGTCCGCGAGGGCTGGAGCAAGGGAGCTCGCCCATCTGCAGCTTTCCTGTTTTGCGATGCCCTCGGCCCGAGACTCGTCCACGTCGACGACCCACCTCAGCTGAGCCTGGTCGGGGATGGCAGCGATGGAGGCCATGTGGAAGTGGCCCGCGCGTCCCAAGCCAATGAGCGCCACGCCGACGCGTCCATCCGTCCTGGCCATGGCCTCGGTGATGGTGTGCCGGTGCCAAGTGGCAATGCGAGGAGCTTGGGGGGGGTGCGAGGGCACCGCTCACGAGCGCTTCTGTCCCGAATTCAAAAACCTATGGCCAAACGGCTCAAGCCGAAGCGGTTACGCAAGATGCCGTCTGCTTCAGTGGTGATTTGGGCCCTCCGCTCAGCTCTTCTGACATCGTCTCTCATGCGCTCCTAGGCGGCTCAGGCTTTGCTTTCAGAACGGCCAGGTCTGCCAAACTGGACCCCAAACTGGCCGACGTTAACTCCACGTGGCTCAAAATGGCCCCGAGATGAATCCAAGAGCCCCGTGATGGCCCCAAGGAAGGCACCAAAAAGGCCGCAGCCAGTGAAGCAAACATGGTATTTGATGATGCTTGCTTTTTCCACGATTCGGCTCTCAAGGAAATTATGAGATAGGCCCCGAAAATCTCCAGGAAACCCCGAGTTATCCCTTGATCCTGCCGATCCGCATCACACGTTCAGCCCTCCTGCTGCTGCTGCCCATCCTCCTCCTCGTTATCTCTTCTCCTTTGCGCCCTCCTTCCCATCCCTCGAGCCGTTCCCTTTACGGCACGCAACAAATTATTCGAGTATGGGTTGAAGAGTCAATCTTGGTGCCCTGGAAGCTGCACGCTGATGCGATTGCCGATTTCCGATCGAACACTTGCCCAATGATTTCGCATCTGCTCAAAATCCGCACACTTGCTCGCAAAACTGGTAAGCCCCCCCTCTCTCCCCATCCATCACCGTCTTGTTTCTTTCCTTGTTCCGCCCCACTTCTGTACCACTCCTTGGCATAGAGAGTACGGGTCCTCAGTGCATCCGCGCCCTTCCCCACGGGCCAGCTCTTCATCCTGAGCTGTTTTTTTAACCTAGCAGCGAAGACCGATAGGTTTCTAATGGTCTCCAAAGACAGCACCTTGACTCCTCAGGGGGGTCTGGGCAGATGCCAGACGGGTGCCGGGGAGAATCCGCGGAAGTCGTTTTAAGCAAATAGTTATACACTTCGTAGTCTTCGAGGTCCCATAACTCCATTCCTGGGCATGTTGTTGAATGCCCGGAGCCAACTGTAGGCCACTTCGTGGTCTTCGAATTCCCCAAACTCAATTCCCGGGCCACATTTTGAATGCCCGGAGCCAACTGTAGGCCACTTCGTGGTCTTCGAGTTCCCAGAATTCCATTCCCGGGCCACATTTTGAATGCACGGAGCCAACTGTAGGCCACTTCGTGTTCTTCGTGTTCCCAGAATACCATTCCCGGCCCACATTTTGAATGCCCGGAGCCAACTGTAAGCCACTTCGTGTTCTTCGTGTTCCCAGAACACCACTCCCAGGCTACATGTTGATTGCCCGGAGCCTGCTGTGAGGCTGAGGCTGACGCAAGCTGAGGCTGAGGCAGGCTAAGACTGAGCCGCAGGCAGGCAAAGGCTGAGGCTGAGGCTGATGCAGGCTGAGGCTGAAAGGATGACGCTGGGGCTGAGGCAGGCAGAGGCTGAGGCTGAGGCCGAGGCAGGCTGAGGCTGAGGCTGAAGCAAACCGAGGCAGGATGAGGCTGAGGCTGAAGCTGAGGCACGCTGAGGCTGAGGCTGAGGTTGTGGTTGAGGCTGAGGCAAGCTGCGGCTGAGGCAGGCTGAGGCTGAGGCCGATGCAGGCTGAGGCTGAAGCAGGCTGAGGCTGAGGCTGAGGCGGGCTGAGGCTGAGGCTGAGGCCGAGGCAGGCTGAGGCTGAGGCCGAGGCAAGCCCAGGGAGGCTGAGGCTGAGGCTGAAGCCGAGGCAGGCTGAGGCTGGGAGGCTGACGCTGAGGCTGAGGAAGGCTGAGGCTGAGGCTGAGGCCGAGGCAGGCTGAGGCTGAGGCTGAGGCAAGCCGAGGCAGGCTGAGGCTGAGGCTGAAGCTGAGGCAGGCTGAGGCTGAGGCTGAGGCTGAGGCTGAGGCTGAGGCTGTGGCTGAGGCAAGCTGCGGCTGAGGCATGCTGAGGCTGAAGCAAACCGAGGCAGGATGAGGCTGAGGCTGAAGCTGAGGCACGCTGAGGCTGAGGCTGAGGTTGCGGTTGAGGCTGAGGCAAGCTGCGGCTGAGGCAGGCTGAGGCTGAGGCCGATGCAGGCTGAGGCTGAAGCAGGCTGGGGCTGAGGCTGAGGCGGGCTGAGGCTGAGGCTGAGGCCGAGGCAGGCTGAGGCTGAGGCCGAGGCAAGCCCAGGGAGGCTGAGGCTGAGGCTGAAGCCGAGGCAGGCTGAGGCTGGGAGGCTGACGCTGAGGCTGAGGAAGGCTGAGGCTGAGGCTGAGGCTGAGGCGAGGCAGGCTGAGGCTGAGGCTGAGGCTGAGGCTGAGGCTGAGGCAGGCTGAGGCTGAGGCTGAGGCTGAGGCTGAGGCTGAGGCTGAGGCTGAGGCTGAGGCTGAGGCTGAGGCAAGCTGAGGCTGAGGCTGAAGCTGCAGGCTGAGGCTGAGGCTGAGGCTGAGGCTGAGGCTGAGGCAAGCTGCGGCTGAGGCATGCTGAGGCTGAGGCTGAGGCAGGCTGAGGCTGAGGCAGGCTGATGCTGAGGCCGAGGCAGGCTGAGGCTGAGGCTGAGGCCGAGGCAGGCCGAGGCAGGCTGAGGCTGAGGCTGAAGCTGAGTCAGGCTGAGGCTGAGGCTGAGGCTGTGGCTGAGGCTGAAGGAAGCTGCGGCTGAGGCAAGCTGCGGCTGAGGCTGATGCAGGCTGAGGCTGAGGCAGGCTGAGGCTGAGGCTGAGGCAGGCTGAGGCCGAGGCTGAGGCCGAGGCAGGCTGAGGCTGAGGCCGAGGCGAGCCCAGGCAGGCTGAGGCTGCGACTGCGAGAAGAGGAGAATTCTACAACTGGATTCTCACTTAAATCTTAAGGGGAATGCTTCCAGATATGCTGCTACACATCGCTGTTAAGTTGCTTTGCCGGGATAACGGTCAGGGAAAAAGCCCCGGCCCAAGGTTCTCTTTTTTTCCTCGCCGTTTCGTCTCCGCCCCAATGCGTCACTGGCCACGGGGCCTCAACCGCCGCCCCCACAGCTCCGGAACCGGGTGCTGCGAAGGCTTGGGTTTTGGCCGCGCGGTGTCCGTGGGCCACGATCAGATAATGAAAGCCGTGCCACCTCCCCAGTGGCGCAGAGGCCAGAGCCGAAGGCCAGCGTTCAGAGACGACACTGCCCCTGAAGTTCATTGCGCAGTGGCGTCGGCCCTCTGCCGACACTGCTTGCGCGCGCTGCGTGCGCAAGCCCCAAGGGGTGTAAACAATTGGGCAGATTTCTTACTCAGGCCCTCTGAGATAGAGCTGTTTCGGCCCCCAAAGACACACCTGCAGGGGCTAGCCACCCAGGCCCTGCACGGAGGTCAACCCACGCCTCGGCAACAGCCACATGCCTCCGAGTCAAAGGACGGAGGCGAGCTTCAAAGTTTTGCTGGGCCGTGCCAGGCAGGCCCAGCCTCACGCAGTGGTGAGCGCGCAAGAAAGCATCGCACACGCAGGCGCACAGCAGCGACACATCCGGGGGAAGACGATAGAGCTGAATCAGTGTGGCAATCCATGGAATCATCGCAGGGGCAATTGGAAACGCAGCACCCATCCATTGGACACATAACTCGCGGAAGCGATGGCAGAATTTGCAATGACGTAGATCATCGTAGCCCCGTGACATATCAAAACCGTATTCCCGATGGGTGCACCCAAAGATACAGCCACGATGATGATAGTGGAAGCGAGCACTCGTGCACACACCACGCGCGCAGATACGAAGAACACACATGGCAAGGCAAGGGGAAGTCGCTGCTGCGCAACGTCGGTTTTGAAGGACAAGATGGGGGGGGGATTACTGCAATCCACTTCAGGCAGCCACTTTCCAGCCGATACTGAAGGCCTTCAAACACCGTAAGTCCAGGGAGAGGAATGGCGTGGAGACGGGCGTAGAGCTTCCGATGGAGAGCATCAGGGGGGATATCGGAGAGCTGCGCAATATTCTGGACACTCTGCACCATCTCAAGCATCGTCGGTGAAAAAAAACGACCTGCGATGCCAACTCCGTGGGTCGACAACTCTGGCATCACATGTTGCGCTGCTCTCAGCAGGCTTCTGCAGCTCGCCCCAGCGCTCGCGACTGCCAGGTTGCTTCGCAGCAAGACGGGCGCGGCAGGCACGCGAGAGAGCAACAATATCTGGGGGCTCGATGCTGAACCCGAGCTGCTGGAGCGAGACAAGCATGTTATACGAGAGCGCATTGTATGGGCCATTCGCAAGGCATTGTAACATGTGCTTGTACATATGCATGACCTGTCTCGCGACTGCATGTATATGCATAACTGGAGCACAGGGGGGCGCATTGCCAAAAAGGTTGAGACTGTCATCGCAGATCCAGGGGCGAGCTGACGGAGCACCGCACATCTTGCAACAAGTTTCGGCAGCGGGGCGCTCCAGGCCATGCCAGCAGCATCTGTTCCAATATACACCCAAGTACTTGATAGCAGAACTTACTCCCACCATCTCCATGCCCCTCGCTCCCTTGGACATCATGTCACTGACCTCATCCTTCCTACCCCTCCCACATATCGGAACAGTGCAGTTGCGAAAGTTGAGCGCCAGCCCAATAGCTGACTCGAGAACGCGAAGCATGCGCCACGCGCAGTAGTCGAGCGAAAGACATCCACCATTCCAAAAAGACAGTCGTCAGCATACGCAAGGAACAGAGCAGCGTGGGCGGGGGGGGGGGGGTCTGTTGCATCCATCGCAATACAGGAGCAATGCATCGACAGAAGAGGGCCATAGAGCTAGGGTCGCCCTGACGCCCACCCACCCCCCCCACCCCTGGATAGGAAAACTTCCGAATTTCTGCCCGCCAGGAGTTACCGCGCCCTGGTTATTCTTATAGAGCATGATGTAGAAACTAGTGATGAAGGAGGGGGTACTCATAGCATTGAGCACGGCCAACATCCAAACATGCAGAAGCCACCGTCTGGAGGGGTGCAACAGTCACTTTATAGAGCTCGTTCAATGGGTGGCAGAACACTGCAGAGAGGATCTTCGCACCGGTGTTGGGCGTGGAGAGCGGACGCGTGCATGCTGCATCCCGAATAATGTGTCCTGCCCCGTCCCCCTCCTGCTCACCCTCAGGTAGGAAAACCATCAGTAGTTCCCCCATATCGCCAGGCAGC